TACTTAAAATAGCCACTGAAATTATTGTGATATTTGCAGATTACAATATTGTGTTTAAGAGCAGTGGAGTATAGAAACGGATATCAAATTCACAGGTATAAAAAGGGAAAATGCAAAATAGCTGGCAAGGGTCCAAGTGCACATGCTTGTGCTGTATGCTTTACATAGTTGAATGAATATACAAAATTAAGGTATCATTGGTTTCTCTGATCAAATAATAGCAGTGACTATTTTCCTTTAATTGTGTCATAATAATGGAAAGACAAATGTTAAGGCTATTCACCTCTGAGGCACAGTCCTAGTCTCCTCTCTCCAATTACAATCCTCACAGATAAAGTATTGGCTCTGTGCTTTATAGCAAAAGTATTGAAACTGTCTAATCGCACCTTAAAGTGGAACATGGTGCAGGGAGGAAGTTTTGAATTTTATTTCATATTCTGTATTTTCAGTTTAAAATGCTTTTTCCCCCTTGGGCTGTATGCCTGAGATAGAATGCATATTGTAATATAAAAGACTACTATAATTGTATTGAGACACATAAAAGTGGAACTTGTCATAATCAGAGTTATACAGCAGGGAAACAGACCCTTCGCCCAGACATTCTAAACTGATCTAGTCCCATTTGCTAACATTTGGCCCATATCCCTCAAAACCTTTCCTATCCATGTACCTATCTAGATCTCTTAAATGCTGTAATTGTACCTGCTTCCACCACCTCCTCTGGCAGCTCGTTCCATACACACACCACCCTCTGTGTGAAAAAGTTGCCACACAGGCCTTCTCCAAATCATTCCCCTCCCACCTTAAACCTATGCCTTCTAGTTTTGGACTCCCCTACCTGGGGGGAGAAAAAGACTTTGGCTATTCATCCTATCCATGCCTCTCATAATTTTATAAACCTCTAAGGTCACCTCTCAGTCTCTGATGCTCCAGGGTAAAAAGTCCCAGCCTATTCAGCCTCTCCCTATAACACAAACCCTCCACTCCTGGCAACATGCTGTAAATCTTTTCTGAACCCTTTAAAGTTTAACAGCATCTTTTATAGCAGGGACCAGAATTGAATGCAGTATTTTAAGAGTGGCCGCACCAATATCTTGTCCAGACACAACATGATGTACCAACTCCTACGCTCTATGCACTGACCAATGAAGACAAGCGTGCCCAAACATCACCTTCACCACCCTGTCTACTTGCTACTCCACTTTCAGGGGACTATGCACCTGCACCCCTGGGTGGCTTTGTTTGGCAACACTTCCCATTAAGTCTATAAGTCCTGCCCTGCCTTACCAAAATGCAATGCCTCACATTTATCTAAAATTGTATGAAGACAAGTTGAATTTTAATGCAAATTCTGTAATATTCAAGTAAATATTTTGCAAATAATAAAGTCTATCATGAGGGAAAACCTTTAGGCCATCCAGAATTATGAAGGATTATTGGACTCTACCAATGTGCTCAACAAGGCTATATCACATTTTCTTTTAGAAAACTGTTATTTTGCAGAAAATGATATCTAACGTATGAAAAACATAGTTAAATGAAGAAGCTAGTCTAGCCGGGCCTGCACATCATCTGCCAACTGAACATTGGAGCTCACGGTGCAGGTCACACAGTATTTTATATTGGCCCCTTTGGGCAACAGCACTGCACAGTAGTTTTGTTTACAAGAGTGAAGTTTCATTAAACAGGAACTCCATTACCAGTGGCTGAATATCAGGTTTCCTTTTATAGCACTGCCCCCTTTCTCTTTGTTTTTCAGGCCATGAATATTCTTGTGGTTCTCAACCCTCTTCACACCGAGCACCAGCAAACGCATGAAAAGCATCTGACCTTTTACTGATGCCAAGTTTGTGTGCTGACTGCTAATTTTCACATCCGGCATCATTACTTCGATTTTTACAAAGCCACCTTCCTCACCTAAAATGAAGGAGGAGAAATTTAGCTTCTGCCCTAAAATGAAACCAATTGGATAGAGTGAATGTCCTGTGCAATAGTTTGTGTCAATCTAAGACCAGGACCAATTGTGGTTGAAACAGAGGTGGTAGTTGTGGGCACCAGACATGTATACTAATACAACTCACCAGTCAGTGAGTTGGCTGGGAACTCCATTAAATCTGTGCAGCCCTGCCACATCATGGATGATGGTGTAAAATTAACAAACAATGGAATGGTAGGAAAGTCTTTGAAATCCTCGTTCTCAAAGTTGGTGGAGCCCAACGTGGACATGCAAGACAAGGCTGAAGCATTTACTACCATCTTCAACGAAAACTGTTCTTCTTGGCCTTCTTGCAGTTTCCCAATATCAGATAAATGTAAAATTATAGTTATAGATCAATGTAAAACTTGATTTAAAAAAAAAGGGTTGAGCAAACTAGATAAAGCAAAAAAGGTATGGGCCTTGATCCTGACCATACCTTGGCTCTCATGCTGAGAACTTGTACTTATAACAAGCTACTACACTACCAAACCATTCTACTAAAGCTAGAACTCTGACTCTACACAAAACAAAGGACATTGCTCAGATTTAGCCTGTCCTCTAAAAGCAGGACAAATCCAATGAAGTGAATTACTGCCCTATCAACTGACTCCAAATGATCAGTAACTTGAAGAAAAATACATTAAAGTAGGATTTGCCTGCTTTACTGATGATGTTTGCCATTGTTCAACCCTTAACCTTCAGACTTTAATGACTGCTGTTTCAAATATGAACATGAGCTAAATTCCAGAGATGAGGAGCCAGTGAGTATCGTTAGCATTAAAGCAGCATTTGACCAAGTGTAGCATCAAAAATCCCTTGTAAAACTTAATTCACTGTGGATTGGTG